CCACTATCTTCCAAGCAAGTTAAACCAGTCTCTTTACTGGCCTCTTTCAGTGTAGGGCAGACTGGTTTGCAGGATTCCAGAGAGAAGACTCAGCTTCTTCAGTGGTTTCCCAAATAGTTCTATAATTTTCCTGTTAGCATTCAGGGCTGTTTCTTTGTTGATAATAATCTCAAGGTATATTGTCTTTCCTACCCTCTTAGTTTGGGGAGTGAGACCATCTGACTTGGGTGTGCGTTGACACCTGATATGACCACTCAGTGCACAATACAGATGAAGGACAATAGATCTCACACACTCAAACAGCCGGAGTCCCCATCTGTAAAATGAGGCAATTGGACTCAGTCTTTTCTAAAGTATCTCTGAATTTCTAATCCTCCAGCTATAATATTTAGCTTCACAAGATTGCATCCTCACTTCAAAATATTGTCTGGGTGACAATTCTCTCTTCTGAAGTCTCTGCAATGAGAAAACCAGGATTGTGTCTGTCCCATCCCCTCCCCTGGGGTGACCCTCTGGATGCATGGGCAATGACGAATCCAAACCTCCTTCCTACCTCACTTGAGAAGGATGCAGTTGTCCCCAGACTAGCAATGCGACTTGAAAGATAATCCAGGTTGCTGTTTTTTTCTGCCTTCTGTTTGTCCTCTTTATTCTATTTTTGCATTCTCAAATTTCCCTACTCAGAGGAAGCATTTGTAGAGGGGAGAGAGACCACTCATTCACAAAGGGGTTTCAGTTTTCTGTTTGTGATGTAACATCATTAATATCAGCTTCTTGGTAGGAATCAGGCGCTATCCATTGCCCCTTTTCCTTAGCCCACAAATTTTCTTTTTCTGCATCTGTGTGCTTGCTTTATAAAGTAACTTTTTTGTTTTCTAGAAGGGCTTCTACCTATGGTCAGTCCTCTTATCAGATGACTCCTGGTTTGAATATTGAATTTGTTTACATACAAGGTTAAGAAAATGAGCAGCCCTTTACTTGAAATATGGTATTTCCCCTTCCTATCTCAGGTTTCAGGAAAAAAAAAACATTGTTGGTAAGGGTTAATATTACATTGTCAGAATAGACCAAGAGTCTCTCAGTGGCTCCAAGATGTGAAGAGAAAGTCCAGGACTGGGAATCAGCAGAGCTGGGTTTCTGCCTCTGGCTCAAGTCTTGATTGGCTGTGTCCTGTCATTCCAGGCTCCATTCTTCTTAAAATGAGCTTCTTTCTGGCTCCGAAGCTCAATGTTTTTACTTGACTCATAGCCAAAGAAATTGCATCTAGGCCCAAGCCAGGCTGACTAGGCCATCAATTTCATTTTGGAGGGGTGGATTATACTGGTAGTCAGTTGGATTCCTTTCATAAAGGGACCAGCACTGACCTACTTAGAGTCAGGCCTACACTGGTAACTATTCATGAGGGCACCTCCCTCAGCAGCCCACAGATTCCAGTCAGGTGACAGCCATGCCACCTTCACCCAGATGAGCCTGAACGCCCTTCTTGAGGATAAACTTGATCTGGCAGCATAGAGCTGGAGGCCTGGACAAGACAAAGGTCCTGCTGCAACCTTGTGGATGCACAGCAGGGCGTGTGTGTGTGTGTGTGTGTTTATACAATGTTGATGGTTGATGGGGGAGAAATAAATGTTTATAGCAGAGAACAGCAGAGACAGCAGGGCCTTCCATCCTTCCTGCACTTCGCACCCTCCTCCATCAGCACTTCAGTGTGGGAGGCTTTCTTCATACTCCCCAGAGGCAAGAAGACAAGAATAAGCACATTTCTCCTGGGGGCTCTGCCTTTCCTGGAATGTATGACCTTGTCAAGAACAGAAAATCACAGCTTTAATGCACAAGCAGCAAAAGGCCTCACAACTCTTTTATAGACTCTCCCTTTCTTAAATAATAAGTCCCTTTGGGAAAGACCTCCTTGACAAATGGAGTATCTTTCCTTTAATTCATTCTGGAACCCAGAGAACAGGTCTGTTCTATTGCCTGCAAATGCTGAGTTACAAAACTTGTCTTTCTCTAAACTGGAAACACTGCTTTTCCTCTTGGGAAAGATGTGTCTTTGCACAAGGCTCTGGGTGGCTGCAGGTCACAGCCACAAGGGCCAAGAGTCAGGCATATCAGGATGGGGTGGGGAGTGCTCTACATATCTGAGGGCCTCTCTCTGTGTCTCTGTTTCTGCTTCTGACACTCTGTATGTGTCTCTGCGTGAGGCTCAGCTATGTGTGTCTCTGTTTCTTTCTGAATTTGTCTCTCCCTCTGTCTCTGTCTCTCTCTCTCTGTCTCTCTCTCTCTCTGTCTGTCTAAAGGGACATTGGAGGCCTGTCTGCACATGTCTGTGTGTCTGGGCGGCTCTCTTTCAACCCTGAGTCACCATGCCCCTCAGTCTCAGTGTCTCTTCCTGCTGCCCTGCCATTCCCTTCCCTCTGCTTCTCTTTCTGTCTCTTTGTCTCACTGACATTATCTCAAGTGTAAATAAATGTCTACATTATCCCCAAGGCCTCTCAAAGATTGTGTTTATCATAATTCCTTGATCTCTTAACATTATAGAAGACAGGCCACACTGGGAAATCTAGGAATATTGTTGGTATCTTGTAGGATGTCCTGGGGATGGGGATCTAGGAGAGGAAAAGGATGAGAGGGGACAGTTGTGTAAAGCAGGCACCTTGGCTCACACGCCTCTTGATACATTCAGGCTGATTTACAAGCATTTTTGGACACACCTGATTGTTTCACGGTTATTTTCAGTACCGAGTTAGAAATGTGAACACCTCCCCAACCATAGCTCGGTAAGAACTTATATAAGGAGAATCTTTTCAATCAAAAATAACATCATTTCCAATTAGCATTAATCAAATTGTGATCTTTTAAAAAAAGAAATATCATCTACATGGCATGTGTACAGGGACCTTCTTGTCTTCACTCACCTCCCAAGTTAAGGAGACAGCCTGGTTTGTTAGCTTGGCCCTTTGGTGGGGTGACAAGAGAAGTCAGAAGAGAAGTTCTGTTGGAAACAAAAGTGTAATTGCACTGGTGATTAGCAGCCTGCTTTCATTATCACAATTAAACAAAACACATGGAGAATAATGACCTACAGCAATTTATTTTATTCCTGCAATGTGTGTCTCTCCTTTATAGCAAAACCACTGACAACATGGTGTGGGAGATCACCTACTCCCTGGCCTGGCCTACCTCCCTGTCTTGGAGAAGTTTCTGATTCCAGAGGAAGGCCTAAGGAAGGCCATGTAGGGAGAAGACCCATGCAGGGAGGAAAAGCACTACAAAGACTCCTCAGCCTCAAATAGCAAATTCTCAAACTGCTGAAGCCATCCAGTGTGATGCATCTGAGTCTAAAAAGTCCTCATATTGTAGGTACATATATCTAAGGTGGGTGATACAGTAACTCACTGCAGAACTATTGCCACATGATATGGACTAATTTATCACATCCATATAAAATGAAAACAGACAAGCACATTTACTATCCTGGGTTTAGCAGTTACCACAAGGGGACAAAGTTAAGTCAGGACTGGAGAAGATTGTTACCTTGGGGTCAGAGGCCACAAAGCAGAAGAGGAGAGGCCAGATGATAAGACCCCTTCCTCTGAGGAGGGCTAAAAAACTCACTTGCAGTCACCTAAAGCTGGTGGGCAGAATGAAGGAAGGATTTTAAGAAGATAAGATAAATGTACCTAGTACCTAGACCAGTGATTCTTAACCGTGGCAGTACATAAGAATCACTGGGGGGAGCAAAAAAAAAAAAATTAAAAATAAATTAAAATAAAAAAGACTATAATCACCACCCCCACCAAGAGTTTCTGGTTAAATCTTTCTTGGGTAGGGTCTAAATGCCTGCATTTTTAAGATGGTCTCTAGGTGTTTCCAAGGTGCAGCCACCATTAAAAACCACTGACTCAGATAATCAACAACTGATAACATTCTGAGTATAATCCTGACTTACTTTTCACATAAAATCACAAAGAGAAGTGGGCAAAATGACTTAGAATATCACTGAACAGCAGAATTTCCTTGTGGTGGCTGAATGACTGAATGCATGAATACTGAAAATGTTAAAGGAAAGGAGCAGTGTGGAATTAGAAGGGAGCCAGAAGCAGGCCCTTCTCCCAAGTTGGCAAACCAGAAGGAGGTGGTAGGAGCACATTTATATTAGAAGGCTGGTTGGAGGCAAATATTTCCAAAGCTGAGATACTTCTGGAAGGTTTTAAATGTGTGGTTCTCAACCTCCACTACATTCCCCAAATGCAAGTCATACATCAGGCTGACCAAACTAGAACCTCCAGGGACGGGACCCAGGCAACAATTATTGAAGCTTCCTGATTGATACTGATCTTCAACCAAGGCTGAGAACCACTAATTTAGATAATTGGTTATGTGCATTTTCAGTAAAGCTTGACCTATTTCTTTTTTCTAAAAGTGTTCTAGAAAGGTCAGAAATCTCCCAGTTTTGGAGACCAAGGAATAGGAACCAAATCAAAGCATGAGTAAGAGAGAGGCAACAGGGAATAAATAAAATAAAAATAATATTATAAGGTAATGTAATATAATATAATGGAGAAAAAGGAGACATGATTAAGAGGCTAAAGAAATCGAAGAACAGGGAATGAAAAAGCAAGGATTATAAGGAGGGGCAATGCCAACACTCAGGGTTATAGGGTGTCCACCCTACTCTCCCCCTCCCAATAATCCATCACTTCTCCGTGTAGATCTCCTGTAATAGCAGTCCATGCCAGGCAATGTGGATTGTATCAGATGTTGGCATGAAAAAAAACTCTCTACATCAACTCTTTTTTCCTTATTTTTTTTTAATTGAAGTACCATTGCATTATAACCTTATGTTTCAGGTGTGCGTATTAATCACCTTATCACTCTCCTCTAAAAACATTTAAGGCTGTTTTCATCTCTGTGGGTGTAGTTTCAGTAGTCCAAAAAAGAATGAAACAGCCCAAAAAGATACTTACTTGGCTCTTCTAGAAAATTCATATCACAAAGCGTTAAGGTGATAGTTTTAGCAACGCTCCATATGCCAGAGCTCCAACATTGCTGTTACCCTGCCAGACTTTTATATGCAAATATGACTGTGAAAACTGTACCTCTGATATCCTGGAGATCCATTTTGCAGAGGTGACTCGACCCTTTAAAGCTTCTCGTATCTGAAAAGGAGTTAACAAGTCACAGAAGGAGTTAAGAATTAAAAGATTCTAAGAAGCTGGCAGACAGAGAAAGACAAACACCATATGATTTTACTCATGGGTATAAAAAGAAACAAAATGAATGAACTCAACAAAACAAAAATAAACTTTTAGACCATAAGATCAAATTAGTGTTTGCCAGAAAGGAAGCGGAGAGGAATGAAATATTGGGTAAAAGGGCTCAATTGTACAGTGAAGGGTAAAGTGGACTTATTTTTTTAAAGATTTATTTTATTTATACAAGAACCGGGGTACAAGCCAGAGGCGCAAGAGGGTGAGAGGATTCACCAGAGACAGAGCGGGGAACAGAACAGGCAGACTGACTGAAATACACTGCTGAGGGGAGCAGCAGGCGAGACAGGAGAGGTCTGCTGCGCCATGTGGGTTGCTCTGCTGCCAGCGGGGATCAAACCAGCACTGCAGAGGCTGCGTACAGCTTCACAGCGCTGCGCTCAACTGCCTGCGCCACCAGGGAGGCCCTAAAGTGGACTTTTAATGGTGAACTTAATGTAGTCTATACACTTGTTGGTTTACAATTACACACACCTGAAATATAAGGTTATAATGCAATGGTACTTCAATTAAAAAAAAATTAAGGGGGGCCTCCCCGGTGGCGCAGCAGTTGAGCGCTGGGCTGCAAAGCTGCCCGCAGCCTCTGCAGCGCTGGTTCGATCCCCGGCTGCTCCCCGGCCACCGGAGGAGGGTCCCACATGGTGTGCAGACCTCTCCTGCCGCCCGCTGCTCCCATCAGCAGTGTACTTCGGTCCTTCTGCCTGCTCTGCTCCCCTCTCTGGCTCTGGTGAATTCTCTCACCCTCCCGTGCTTCTGACTGTACCCAGTGCTTGTATAAATAAATAAATAAATCTTTAAAAAAAAATTAAGGAAAAAAAAGTTGATACATGTGCATGGGCTTGACAAATATTATGGCAAAGGATTGCGTTACTACTCAAGACCTGCTACTGAGATCTGAAGGTGTCAGTAACTTGGAGGTGCCATCTAGAAAAATGTGAGAGGGGGAAAGATAGGAAAGGTGGAGTTAGCATCAGAGAATCATATACAGGGGGCATAAACATGAACTGAATGACTTAGAAATAATTTGCCACCACTTTGAGGAATCCTGGGCATAGTATGTTTTTGGACACTTAAATAGCACTTGAATGGTTGAAATTCCTACAATTTGTCAGTTACTCAAATCTCCTTTTCAAGAGGGCCATACCACCACTAAAAAAGAAAAAGAAAAAAGAAAGAATCCCACACAACAAAGCAAAGGCCTGGGGAACCAAGAAAATAAGCACAATAAATAATAATATTATGTTTAGTAACTACAAACTGCTTTTCACCTGCCATCTCACTTTATTCAAAAAGTAATCCTCTAAGATGGCTATTATTATCCCCACTTTATGACTGAGGAAATTAAGACTCCGAGATGAAGTAGCATGTAGAATCTGTCAACTACTAAGAAGAAGGGCTGGGATTTGAGTTCATATTCCTTGACTCCAGATTCTCCTGTCATTATCTCTACATCTCTCTTGCGTTCTCTTCTCATTTCTACTGCCCTCTTTCCTTCTGCCATACTTATTGTTATTCACCTTCCAAGTTAAAGTATGCCAGAGTGCTCCAGCTCAGAGAGACCTCACCCCTCAATGGAAGTGCAGTATTCTTTGTCACACTAGGCTCCAAAGACAAAGGAGCAGTCCCTGGCACTGGGGTCTACACACTCATGGTCCACTGGGACATGTGAAGCCATATTGGAACATCTATTTAAGCTTTTTTCTTATCTTTTTTTGGCTCTATGAATCATAGGCACAAATTACTTTGTAAAGTAATAGCAAACACATCTGGGGATACATGCTCACTGTTCTTTATTGACCCTAAAAGTTTTAAGACTACTGACACATACAACTGTTTGTCAATCATGCACAGTTTCCCAACATCAATGAGTATCTTCTTTGTATATTGTAATTTTAATTGTAAGAGGTTTTGATGCTTCTAGAAGAGTATATGTCTCAGAGTTGTTTGCACATCTCACAACTCCTAATAATGGCACACAAATAAATAATAATGTTGCTGCTACTGCTTTGGCCACAAGTGTTGGTTGTGGTATTAGATTAACAGAATGCGTAGACTTGTTTATTACCTTACATGTCTTCTGTGTGTTTTCGAATAGGAAAACTGGATTTTTTTCCTTAAGCTAGAAGAGAACTCAAAGAAGCACTATTGTATTTGCTTTCCACTAGAAGGATCTGGAGTTCAGGAGAGTTAAGGAACTCCCAAAAGCACACAGCTAGTACAAGGAAATATCGAGACTAATACTTTCACATCTGAATAATTTTTATTAGGTTGATATGGTAGCTTCATAAAAAAATGAAAAAAACATAGTTTGAAGTCTGGGAGTGTGATGCCTCCATTTCCTTCTTTTTTTTTCAGTAGAGCTTTGGCTATTCGGGGTTTTTGGTGATTCCATATGAATTTCATCAATAATTGTTCTATTTCTTTGAAGAATGACATTGAAATTTTGATTGGAATAGCATTGAATCTGTATATTGCTTTTGGTAGGATGGCCATTTTAATAATGTTTATTCTTCCAATCCATGAGCAGGGGATGTCTTTCCATTTCTTTGTGTCTTCTTCTATTTCTTTTAACAGTGTTTTATAGTTTTCTTTGTATAGGTCCTTTACCTCTTTTGTTAGATTTATTCCCAAATATTTGATTTTTTTTGTTTCGATAATAAAAGGGATGGTTTTTTTGATTTCTTCTTCTTCAGATTTGTTGTTTGTGTATAGGAAGGCTACTGACTTTTGCGTGTTGATTTTGTATCCTGCCACTTTACTGAATTGATTAATGAGTTGAATTAGTTTTTCTGTGGAGTTTTTGGGGTTCTCTATGTATATTATCATATCATCTGCAAATAGTGATAGTTTGACTTCTTCTTTTCCTATTTGGATTCCTTGGATGTCTTTCTCTTGTCTTATTGCTCTGGCTAGGACTTCCAGTATTATATTCAAAACTGCATGGTATTGGAACAAGAACAGACATACAGACCAATGGAATCGAATAGAAAATCCAGAAATAAACCCACAGATTTATGGTCAACTAATCTTTGACAAAGGAGCAAAGACTATGCATTGGAGCAAAGAAAGTTTGTTCAATAAATGGTGCTGGGAAAACTGGGTCGCTACATGCAAAAGAATGAAGCTTGACCACTACCTCACACCATACACAAAAATCAACTCAAAATGGATTAAAGAACTAGACATAAGACCTGAAACCATAAAATACATAGAAGGAAATATAGGCGAAACACTACGGGATTTGCACATCAAAGACATCTTTACAGACACATCACCCAAAGCAGTGATAGTGAAGGCAAAGATCAACAGCTGGGACTACATCAAATTAAAGAGCTTCTGCACAGCAAAAGAGACAATAACAAAAACAAAGAGAAACCCCACCAACTGGGAGAACATTTTTGCACCCAACACTAATGATAAAGGACTGATCACAAAAATCTGCAAAGAGCTGATGAGACTCAACAACAACAAAGAAAATAATCCAGTCAAAAAATGGGCAGAAGAGCTAAAAAGAAACTTCTCTGAAGAGGAAATGCAAATGGCCAACAGGCATATGAAAAAATGTTCAACATCACTTGTCATCAGGGAAATGCAAATCAAAACTACCATGAGATACCATCTTACACCAGTGAGAATGGCACATATTAAAAAAACTAGCAACAACAAATGTTGGCGAGGGTGTGGAGAAAAAGGAACTCTCCTGCACTGTTGGTGGGAGTGCAAACTGGTCCAACCACTGTGGAGAGCTGTGTGGAGATTTCTGGACCTACTAAACATAGAGCTTCCATATGATCCAGCAATTCCACTCCTAGGTATTTACCCAAAGGACACAGAAACATCAATTCCAAAGAACACCTGCACCCCTATGTTTATAGCAGCACTATTTACAATAGCTAAGCTTTGGAAACAACCCAAATGCCCAAAAATAGATGACTGGATCAAGAAGATGTGGTACATATATACCATGGAATATTACTCAGCATTCAAAAAAGATAAACACATGCAATTTGCAGCAACATGGATGGCGCTGGAAGGGATCATGCTCAGTGAAATAAGCCAAAAGAAAAAGAAAAATACCGGATGGTCTCACTCATAGCAGGAATCTAGAAAACTTAAATAAGGGACCATGAAAATGAATATAAGAAAGTGAAAATCAAAATCAACAAAAAACTATGAACCAGAGACACTTTTTGGGGGGTGGGGGCGGGAGGGAAGGATTGGGGTCAGAATGGGGCATTTGCAATTGTATGGGGGAATATAAAAATAAAATTTATTATAAAAAATAAAAAATAAATGAAAAAAACATTGTGAGATGCCTCTTTTTACAAACCTTGGGTATTAATTTAAGAGTTGAATAGTATTGATAGTGGAATGAATGAATGAATATTGAAGTAAAGGTGTTTGCATCTACATTTAAGAAGACTTTGCTTTGCTCACTCCAAGAGGCTGTGTAGTACAATGGGAAGAGGGTAATCATAAAAATTGAATAAATATTTGATATTTTGTTCATTTGTTTAATTTTCATTTGTTTCCACCAACCACTGCCTATACACACTCATTTATATTTAGAGAATTCTTTCTTGAGTCCACTACTCTGAAAGTAAAGGCCAAGAATAGTCTCCCAACTTCCCTGAGCTCAATCAAACATGACAATGCAAAGAAAAAGGTGCCAGCAGGCCCGAGTGGGCTAGGTGAAGGTGATCCCTAAGAAAGCAGCAGCAGCAACTGTGGCTTATCATCCACTGTCTGAGATTGGCCTTGAGAACTGTGCTGTTTACAGCAAGGGGGAGGGGTAATGGTGTCTCATGGGGAGCAGTTCTGTGTTGTGAATGGGGAAGTATTGCTGGTGTGTAGCCTCCACATCTCCAAGTCAAAGAAAGACCTTCCCAAAGATAGATTGTGATCGCTTCTTGGCCTTTTGGCTAAGACCAAAGATAGATTGTGAGATTTAAGAAATCCCTTTCTGCTAGTTAAAGTAAGTTTCCATTGAGATCTCAGGCAAACTACTTGATCACACTGAGTCTGTTTCCTCATCTGTAAAACTAAAAATGTAGGAATACCCAAAATTGCCTTAATTCTTAAATTGTATATTTCTATATATTGTGTCACTGTATAGTGTATTTACAATGCTTAGCCCTGAAAGAGTTTGAAAGGTGGTAGATATTGCTTGCACTGTAAAGAGCAGAGATGTGTCTGCATAAATGACTGAGGTGAAAAGCTCTCAACAAGTTTCCCTTACCAGTGAGCATTTCAGGGCCAAATACTGATAATACAGGAAAAGCAACAAGAAGAATTTACAGTACCTTTGGATCCAGAATTGTTCCAAACACCAAGATAAAGAAGCCCTAAAAAAAGACAGATGAGGTAAGAAAATTCATTTACAAAATAACAGTTACAATAATAACGATGACTACCAGCATTCCTTATCAGTTCCTATTCTGGAACTGATAAAAATAATAAAAAGTGGGCCTCCCCGGTGGCGCAGCGGTTGAGCGCTGGGTTGCGAAGCTGCCTGCAGCCTCTGCAGCGCCAATTCGATCCCCGGCTGCTCCCCAGCCACTGGAGGAGGGTCCCACATGGCGCGCAGACCTCTCCTGGCGCCCGCTGCTCCCCTCAGCAGTGTACTTCGGTCCTTCTGCCTGCTCTGCTCCCCGCTCTGGCTCTGGTGAATTCTCTCACCCTCCCGCGCTTCTGACTGTACCCAGTGCTTGTATGTATAAATAAATAAATAAATCTTTAAAAAAAATAATAATAATAAAAAGAAAAATGAAATGAAACAATAATATGAAGACAATTGTAGTAAATATTTGACTCTTATCTTAGGCTCACAACACCTAGGTTTATCCATTCAATAAGTACTGATTGAGAATCTTCCATATGTCTACCACTGTTCCGAGTACTTGGGATACCTCAGCAAACCAAACAGACCAAGATCCCTGACCTATATTGTAGGCATTTTTTTTTTTTAATTTGAGCAAAAGAAACATGCTTTGCATTAATCAGGAGCTGGTTATCTCACCAGAATATACTGGTTCATGAAAGAATCAGAGGAGAAAAGATGTCAGCCAAGACCTGAGTAAACCATACCCTCAAGAGAAATTTTGTCTAATGAAATCATCCTCTATCACCTTTTTGTAAGTTGAATCTTTGAGATCCCTTTTCCTTATCTGAGGTGGTTTCTTTTCTTCTTTTGGGGTGGTTTTGTGCTGATGTGTATTGTAAAAAAAAAAAAAGGGCAAAAACTCAAATGGATGATATAGTGGAGTTATCTCCTTTTAATTTTAATGGGGTCTTTGTATGGATACGAGATATGTGAGTTACTCAATCTGCTAACATCTTTTTTGGCACAACTGTTTCTGAGCACTTATTCTGTGTTTAAAATCTTAATCTTTTATGTCTTTATTTTTCTGAGGATTCATGAACTTGAATTTTCTTTGCAAGTTTCATAATGGCCCCTGGTTGTGAATGGCAGATGGATATCCAGAGTGTTAATGGAAGCTGAGCATAGCTACTTTTCTTTTGCCATTATTGATTGTTCAGGAACTGCAAGGCTGTTGTCCACTGCCTAACACGTCCTCTCACTCTTTCATGGAACATTGTATTCTGGTGAGATAAGCACCGGCCTGTTAAAGCACATGAGTTGAATACAAATGGCACCGTAAAGATATTACCATCAGATGATCCTCAGCAGGCCCAATACCAAACCCCTTCCATGATTTGTAGAAATTCAGTTGAAATGAGGAGTTCTTCACAGGTATCAGTACAGAATCATGCAGTCCATCCATTTCCCGAAAACCACTAAAATACACATCTCCCTTCAGCCAGTCCAGCAAGTGTTCCAAAGTTTTGGGATCTATCTATCTATCTATCTATCTATCCATCCGATTGCTTTTTTGTGTGAAGCCCTTAGTCTACAAGATAACTTATGAATTCTGTCATTGTGTCTGCTAGAAAATGTCATTAACAGCCTAGTCTTTTCAATTACAAAGTATCATTTGCATAAAGATGTTCAGGACAAGCATCAGTCTGGGACATCCCAGTCTAGTTTTGTTACTAGAGGTACATTGTAAATCAGAATCACCATGAATTTCACCCAGCAATTAACTTTTCTAAAGATCTAGAAACCACAATTCTAGCCTATTTTATCCAGAATTGTATGTTCTGTTAGCTAAAGGATAAAAAGGAATTTCTTTCCTGTAAGAGCTTCCATTTCTTGAGTTTGGACTACTTATATTCATATCTATAACATTTAACACAATTCTTGGTACAAAATAAGCACTCGAAAAATGTGGTGTCTCTGTGTATTTGTGTGTGTACATGGTTGTATGTGTTTGTGAAACATATATATATATATAACAGGGAAATGTTCTACCAGATAATTTTTCTCTGGGCCATACCATTTTGGGAAAAGATACACAAACTATCATTCAAAAGATATGGATAAAATATTAGACATGTTTCATATCTGATTAAAAAGAATTCACTGTTTATACCTTCTTTGCATTTCTTTTAATTGATAAAGTACAATTTGAGCAGATAAATCTCAAGGTATTTTCCCAGGTCTTAAGGTATCAATATATGCTTCACTGATAAAGACTGAATATTTGCTACCCTCCAAATTGGTATGTTAAACCCTAGAACTCACTGTGATGATCTTGGAATTGCACCTTTAGGAAGTGATTAGATCATGTAGGCACAGTGTCCATGAATGAGATTAGATCCCTAATAAAAAAGAACCACAAGATCTCCCTTGCCCCTTCCACCAATAAAGTTATGGCGAACTGGCTGTCTGTCTTTGAACCAGGAAGCAGGCTCTCACCAGACAAGGCATCCGCCAACATCTTGCTTGGAATTCCCAGCCTCTAAAACTGTGAGAAGTAAATTTCTGTTGTTTATAAGCCATCCAGTCTGGATTTTTGTTACAGCAACCCAAATGGACAAAGACAGTGCGTTTTCTCCCACCAAACCAACTACAAGCCGTGCCCAAACCTCACCCAGCCCACAGTTACTCCCAGTGAATACAAGAGAGGACACTGACTAGAAGTTCCTCTAGAAGTTATATATTGAAAGGTGAGTATTCAAGACAGCAACTGACTGTATGTAAGATTCCCTACTAAAGTTCCTTCCATGGGCGAGGACCAAGAAGTCTTTTTAAAAGCCAACTCTGGACCTTCTGTTAGTTTAGGAGTCTCTCATCACCCCCTGCTCGCTGTCAGCTTCAGCTGCACCTCATCTCAGCCCACCCTCAGGCTCAATTTGTCCTGCTTCTCAGGTGCTTGTGTCTCCACCTGAGCAGATGCATGGCTCTCCTTTCTCTCCTCCTGCACTGGGCTTCCTAAATTCATATACAGGTAAATAGCAATATCCAATTCTCCTAATTTGCCTACCATGGCTGATTTAAATCTAGCAACAATGACATCAGCAAACATGGAGATAGGAAGAGATGGGCACATCAGTACACAGAGTTTCATCATACACAGGTACCAATACAATACATGCAAATGACTCAAGAGCTTTGCAAAAAGTAGACAGTTAGGATGTGATATGTTTTAAGTCTATATGACATTTCTGTTCATCTAGTTTATTTAATTCAAGTCTATATAATTTAACCTTTAATCACATCTGTGTTGACAGCCAACTCACAAAATTCCTGAAAATATAACAGTCGATTCTTACAAGGCAGTACAAGGTAGCTTCAGCACGGTATGGCCTAACGGCTGGTACGGGCTCTGCCTTCACCCAAATGCTGCCCTCAGCTTCTCACTGTCCCATCAGCTTGGCATTGAGATGGGCCCTACCGTCCTCCCTGCCAGGAGGCAAGGCAGAAACTGAATTGATATTACACGTTGATCCTATTTTGACAGGAAAAGGAGCTTATGGTACCAAAATACAAGTACTCAGAGCCTTGTCTGGAACAAATAGCTGAGTTGGCCCCAAGGGAGACAAGGAAAAGAAAACACCAGGGTGAGAGACATGAACAGCTAAGGGTTCATGACAGCAATGGGATAAGCTCAACAGAAATGGAGGAATACTAGATTGATCCCAGTCCCATCAAGCCTGCTGCATGAGTGTGAAGAGGACAGTTGATAATTTCTAAAAGCTATTCAAAAAAGTTACTGTAAAATTAATGTTTTTATGGAAGAGCAAAAAAAAAAAAAAGATTTACAAGGTGAGGCATCTCTATATTGTTAACATTGTTCTCCAAGGCATCAAAATGTCTCTTGTAAATGAAATTACTTATATTTAAAGCTTGAGAGGAAAATGAGAAATATTTGATTTAAAATCTCTTATTTACTAGGTAAAACATTTATTTGAAAATAAACATACATTCAAATTAAAAAGCTAGTATTTTAAAGGTTCTTAGGAAACTAAAGACTTTCAGTCAGTTGCAATCTACATATTTAGCATTAATATAATAAACTTCAGTTCCTTGGTATACTGTGATGGAAAATTTCTTTTTAATTTAATCCAGAAGGTAATTATTGAATATGGATCACTAAGCAATCATTAAAGAGACATTTTTATAAATGTCACCTGGTAAAATACTAGTGTTTACTTTTAAGTGAAAAATAAGTTGTGTCATATACATTGTTTTTAGCCTCCATTGTATGTGAAAATATATGCATATATAAGCATAGCCAAGTTGAAAAAGATACGTGTGAAACTGTGTGGCTTACATCATTAAAAGTAAAATGGTTTCCAGAGGTAACTAAAAATTCTAAATGGAAGAAAATAGGAGAAATGTGCACATTTCTACATATATAACAAGGTATGTACAGATGTTGATTATGATATATACCTGAAAACTATATTGTTAAAAAAAAGTTACTTCAATAAAAAGTTAAAAGCAAATAAAAATTCATATTTTAATACCTTCAGATACATACCTAGGTTTGGCAGGAGATAATATTGCTTAAAAATCTCAATTTCTAAACAGTAACAATGCAGCTTATTGTTATACTATTTATGATCTTTAAGTCATTTAATACTTGGCACATTCCCTTTACTGTTTCATTTTTCCAAACACTCTTTTAAGTGAGCAAAATAAGGTTTAGAAAAGTTAAGCAAATATCCCAAGAAAATGTTACACATCATTGTTTGCAATTATAGGATTTGAGTCTAGACTTTCTGGAATGAAAGTTTATTTCCTCACTCAATAGGCTACTCCAAAACCATTTTTTTTTTTTTATAGAAATATGAAGCCACAAGCTCCTGATAACAAAACTTCTTCCTATGTCCTTTCACTTTAGACTTGGTCAGAAGCATTTAGACTTACCTGGAATGCGTTGAGCAAGGAGAAGATAATGTGGAAGACCAGGGAACTATTGTCGATGACTATGGCTATTCCAAATCCCCAGGTCAGCCCCAGCAGTGGGGTGAGGATGGCGATATTTTTACTGATTCTCACAATGGCTCTCACTTCCTGAAACATGGAGCTGCCAATGGCGGCTCGTTGGGTCTTGACAATCACCAGTGTAACTGTGATCAGGTTTACAACCACGATGGCCAGAGCTGGAACCACAAAGGCCAGGAGGGCCTTGGTCATGTCCCAATTCAGCCAACAAACTTCAGGGCGTAGATATCCTTTACCAGGCTCAGTGACAGCCACCGTGATAACAGCAATGACCAAAGGACACCCGTAGCCCACTGAAAAGAGACATGCCACCAAGACTGACTTGGGCAGCGTATGGAAAACAATCAGGATCCCGTAGAGGATAAGGAGTGCCTTGGCAAGCATCCAGAAAAACACAGAAAGGTAAAAGAAATGAACAAAAAATGTCGCCGCCACACATGCATTGTGATTTGTCACTGGGCCACTAAGAAAGGAAGCCACAATGAACCACACATCAGCCATCAGCAAGGTGGCCGCCACATTAGCGATACACAGGTGGCGTAAATATGAGATCTCTGTCTTTGTCACTTGGGTCCAAACCAAGGCCTCAATGGACAAGCAAAGGATCAAGCTACAAATAGAAATACCCAGGCCTATGTACGTGATATAAGTCAGGACTGGGCTTTCCAAGACATGGGGTGACATAAGGATTGAGAAGGAGGTAAAGAATTTGCTTGGCCTACATTTGCACACAGCATGCTGGGAGTCTTCTCGAATCATTTTACAGGCCTGCTGGTCCCATCTGCTCTCTAAGGAGTGCCAGCCAACACACTGTGTCCTCCTCTCCTCTGACTTGCTGATCTTTTCAAAAATCAGTGAGATTCTCTGCAGCTCTTTGGGCAAAATGACAGACAGGACAAGCCCATTCACGGTGACATTTTCAAAAAGACTGGCTTCTAAGATGGCCCCCAGAGTTGGAAATGCAATAGTGATGACCTGAGAAGGGGAAGGCAACCTCCGAAGTTCATCTTTGCTGATCAGCACCTTCCCAGTGACTTCATTGTTGGTGTCATTCACTCTCATTGAAAAAGTAAAATTCTTTTCATTGATATCTCTGGATACAGTAGTGCCCATCGTATGAATGAAGACATCCGATATGTCAATGGGGTGTTTATTTATAAATAGATTTCTTGCAAAGGAATTGACAGAGTGCAGCAGGACACAGCTGCTGTTTCGGTCAGGAATGTAAGTCCAGTTTGAGATGCTTTTGCTGTTAAGAATGTGGTTGGCCATGATGCTGTAACTCTGCCAATGAAGAACTGTATTAGTAGGGGGTCAGTCTGTATTTGCCAGGACATTCAATGTTCACTTTTATAAAATGCGTTCCCCCCAGCCAGCATCAAAGCATCCTCGGGAACTTCTTAGAGATACAGAATCTCAGGCCCCACCAAGACCTAGCCAAACAGATTCAGCAACTTAATAAGATCCCCATGTGACTCACATACCACTGCAGTTGGAGTTGGAAGACAGAGTTACAAGGAAACTCCCCTCCTCTTATTTATACAATGCAGTGAGCAGCCTTCACTGTGCTCATTTCCATCATCAGTTCCACCTCTCACCTGGGCAAAGCTAGGTGCTTCTCCTGGTTAGAGAACCCATTCTATAATTACCATCAATTAAATCCCCACTGTAGGCAGGATCGCACTAAGTTGGAAATTAAGCCCAAAAGAGGAAGCTACTCTTTATTATCATGTGCTTTGAAGATCAAAAACAAAAGAACTGGATCCAGTCTCATTTCACATTTGTGCAACAGACATGGATGACTTTTCTTTGCATTCGGTTATTTTTCATTTTTAGCAACTTATTCTGACTCACAAATAAAAATAAGAACAGCCTTTCTCTCTGCAAGTTATAGAATGTTTCCTAGAGGTTTTCAGTAGCTAAACTATACATTGGAAAAGCATACTCCAACGTCTAATCCAGCACTAAGTAAGTGCTCCCACTAAGTGTTGATTGAACATCTTCCTTTGTTCCATTCATTTATTCACTTTTTTCTGCAATGAAGATTTACTTAATACTAGTTATTCTAGGAATTGATGATAGGGCGGTGAAAGACAGAGACCCCAGCCCCCATAGACTACCTCAGAATGCTGAATTAATCTGCATTCTTTTCCTGCCAAAATGATGCTCTATCGAACATCCGAAGCACTCACCTGCATCTTGGCCTCATCTACACCTGTTGTAAGTGCTGTGGATATGTTGTGTAAGAGCTGCACAATGACAGCGATATTTCCTGGGATCCGGGGAGACTTCAGAATGTTCCTAATTACACAAGACAAATCCTTGGGACACTTCCGCATCAACATATCTGTGATGGTCTCAGACCTTACATTATATTCATGGAATGACGTATTTCCTCCAAATGGTTGACCCATATATATTTCTGTTGCCTATGAAGTGACAAATGAACATTTTTATCATGTTACTATTGTTTTAAAGGTAAAAGTAAACCTACTAAAATGTAATAATGGCCTGATAATACCATTGTCTATTGCATAATATATTTTCTATTTTACATTTTCAGAGTCACATCTGCAGCTAGATAACTTGACCAATACCGAGGTGGGTGTAAAGCCCCCAGCTTGCCAGCTGCCTACTCCTTCACACTGCCCCTCAAATAGCAGCTGTTATATTTAGCACACCACCTCAGACCCCTTCTGGGTGTATATATTGTATAAACTTCCTTTGCATGTCGGTAACATTTTTGTACCACTCAAACTTATTTTTCCTATTCCCTAGGGGCAAAGCATGAGCTATGAACATATTTTTAAAAATAGAAATTTCAAACTAGCTTTGGATGAATCAGCTGGAATATCAAGCTAGAAAAATAACTGAAAAGAATGACAGACAGTGTATCCCACAGATTCAGGTTCTGAGTTTCACACTCCAGAGCAGGGATGGTAAAGTACAGCTCCAGGTTGCCTGTCTGTTTTTTGTAAATTAAGGTTTTTGGGGACTCAGCGAGCCATTCACTTAATATCACCTATGGCTTTTTAATGCTGCAACAGCAGAGTTAACTAGTCATGCCGGGGACCACACAAGCCACAAAGCCTAAAATATTTACACAAAGGTCCTTTACAGAAAAAAAATTGCTCAAATTGCTTTACTAGCCCCCTTTTGGCCCTCGGGATCCAGCTGCCCCTTCACTATGTATCTAAAGGATATGCCTCTTTAGAACCCATGTCCCTGCCAGCTGAACGCTTTCAATTAATATTTACAGAAACTCAGATTCCCCTGTAGCATGATTTCCAGACCACCTTCAGGGCCTGGAGGGGCCATTTCCTTAGTCTGCACTTCCATGGACACACCAAACCACCAGTGTGCTCACGCCCAGGCCTGAGAAGTGGCAAATGCACACAAGTTTGCAAACCTACATGTTGTTAGCCTTAGCTTTCCACTGCCTTAGAGGTGCAGGCTGGAATCTTGGATAGAAGGCAGACAGATACTTTATTTAGCAGTCTGCAAGCTTGATTTAAGCATTAAGTATTAAGTATTAAGACAGATGGTCTTAAGTATTAAGACAGATGTAGGTGGGTCTCTGAAATTTTTGTTGAAGTCACATTACAAGATAACCTTAAATTTCAGCTGTGCATCATTAAAAATCAGACAGAGAAAGACAACTAAATACCATGTGGCTTCATTCATGTGGTATATAAAGAAACAAAACAAAGAAATGAACTAAATATAACAAAAATAAAAGTTCAGTCTGAATCTTTGCTTAGGTTGTTCAAATGAGGGGTGAGTCTGGTGACAGACCCCCAGATAGGCAGGCTTTTGAATTTTACCCAGGGACTTCAGGAATGGCACCCACTGAGCTCCGTTGAACCGTGCTCCAAACAGGGAAAGAGAAAGTTCTTAGGGAAAAAGAAATACTAACAAGGGCTTCCCTGGTGGTGCAAAGGGTTAAGACGCAACCTATGAAGCTGTCCACAGCCACTGCAGTGCTGGTTTGATCCCTGGCCAGGGAGCTACCCACATGGTGCAGCACGTCTCTCCTGTCTCCCAACTGCTCCCCTCAGCAGTGTATTTCAGTCAGTCTGCCTGTTCTGCTCCCTACTTTGTCTCTGGTGAATCCTCTCACCCCTCAATGCCTCAGTTCTTGTATGCATAAATAAATAAATCTTTATTAAAAAGAAATACTAACACAGACTCAAGACAAAGTCAGGAGTCAAACTTCAGAAAGCTCCTAGTAGAAAAGGAGAAAAGGAAACAAAAGGAGAAGAAATAACATTTAACCTGATTTTATTTCGTAGAACTGGATTTTTTTTAATTACTTAAGTATGCATGGACTATGTTCATTTGTTTGATGATGAAGTGTTCCCCTTTAGGCCAACTGGCTTCTCATGCTTTCATGAGCACAGAATTCAGCCCTGGGACCTAGATAAAATACAAATTCTGATTCAGCAGTCTCGGGTGGAGCCCAAATTCCACCCATCTGCAAGTTCTTGGTGATTCCAAGCTGCTGGTCAGGGCAGGACATGTTGAGTAGCAAGACTTTGGGGTTCTTAAACAGTTAAAAGGAAAGATGGAGGGTGTTTGCTGCGATGATTCTAGACAGCGACCCAGCTTTTACCCAAAAGATGGGTTCCTGTGTTAAGAAAGAGTGTGGGGGGCAGGATCACAGACTTTCAGATGCCCAGAGTTAAGAACACCATTCTCATGGAGAGACAAGAGGGTAGGTGGTTGTTTATGTATTAATATACCAAACACAAATACATACAACCCTATCTCAGCTCTTCCCCTCTCTTGCTGAGATCAATAAGCATTGCTAATTGGGTTTCCACTTTGCATGTGAGAGAAAAGATATTACCTCAAAGATGTTGAATTCACTAAGAGTCCGGCAGGTCTCAGTAATCTTCTGCCATTTCTTTTGCCTGCATGAAAACCCCATGCTTCCCTGAGTTTCTGGAGGGCAAGTCTGACTGCAATGGGAATTGTCCAGACAGATACCATCACATACACCTGCAGAGGCAAAAAGACATTGGTGTGAATGGATGGTCTGGGCTCTGAGCTGCACAAGCCAATCACTAAGGTGTCACGGCAGGAAAGCACATAAATCCTGTGGGCATTCAGTGTCTTTTCGTGTAAAGTAGAGGGAGATTGAAAAAGATCCATGGTTGTCATATATTATATATTTCAGTGACAAACTCCTATTGCTTTCAACAAATCTTATCCTGACCTCTAATGCATAAAAAAGATACAAGGAGAACTGCCCAGTTGAAATGGGAGTAAAGAGCCCACAGTTCAGTGCCCTAGATGATGCTCAAGCCACAAAGGGACCCCCTGAAACACTTGCTCAGAAGCCTAGAGCTCCCAGAGGACAGTCTGAAGCCACCACACCTGATGTTCTTTCTCTGAGCATCTTCCCAGCTCCAGAACATTATAATGAACTGTCATCAACAACTTTGCACCGACCTGTGCCAGTTTGAGTTGGAGCAATCCAAAGGAGTTTTGGCAAAGAACTCTCAGACCAGATGGAGCAGAGGCTGCCGGGAGAAGAAGGAAACAGGGGTCGAAGGTACAGTTCAAAAGAGAAAAGTAGAAAGAATCCAAATGCAAGCCATCAAGGAGTGCAGTCAGCCAAGCCATAAGACAGGGGCTGAGCCCCCCTGTTATGATAGGTGAACAGCAAAGCTTCCTTTTGATTAGTAACTGCTGCTGACATACCTTGTGGCCTGACAGACACCTTCTCCTTGCTTCTGCTGGCAGCCTAGAGAAAGAAAATCAAAATTCACATCAAAATCGATTACCTATTTGCAAGCCCAAATTCTTTAATCATAAAGTAACGACCACATCTGAACCAGCTCTGAAGTCAGGGTGGTCACCCAGCGCTCAGACGAAGAACATGGACTGATGACCCATTTTGCCCTTCAGCCTGGACAGCACACTCACTGCTGCTGAGCAGGAGCCCTCCTTCCCTTGCAATCTGTATTCTATCCAGGAGATGCAGCCTGAGCAAAGGTGGGCTTACTGGGAAGTTAATGAAGAATCTCTTTGCTTTTATGGGCCCCTTCAAAGCCCCAGAATTCAGTTCAGCAATATCCTCACATCATTCTATGTTTTATTAAATTTTCCAAAGCAAAATAGTTTAACCACCATCTGTTCAGATCATTATTTTTTGCCATCCAAATTTTTTTTTTGCCATCCATTATTTTTTGCCATTTTTGCTGGGACTGGTTATGGATTTGGACAAGTAGAAGTTGAGTTGAGAATACATTTACTTTGGATTTAAATACATACCTCTGTAGTTTATAGTTGTTTACACATTACAACAAAGACACCAACAGAAAAGTAGCATTAAGTCTACAAGTATCTGCAATTAGTCACAGAACAAGAAAAGTGTCTTGGTACCTTGTAGCTCATATATGAAAGGAACATATGAGAGGTTTCCCCAATTTTGACAAGAAACCTACATAGTTACAGGGCATTATGAACAATGCATTGAGAAGCTGGAAGATACTTTCCCAAACTATAATAATAAGAAGAAGAACAACCTCAATCAGAAATGCTAAAGGAAAAACTGAATATACTTTCCCTTGGCTCTATAGAAAATGAATATTACAAAATTATCAACATACAAATATGCAGCCAGAAATGTAGGAATAAAATGTGCTGAAATTATGAAAATATTATTTTACTGAATAATGCTGATTATTGAATGCATTGCTCTTTAAGTTTTTTAATTTGAAATGGTTTTTCCTTCATTTTGTAATTGTAATTTTGTATTATTTTGCTTTAAGGGAGATGCCCCCATAATGAGAATTCCTGACTTTCCTGGGTAGAAGCCCCTCTCTAGTGCACCCATTCAGACCGGATCAGAAACTTCATTGAGAAGCAGTATCACATCATGTACTCTGCCTAGGTTCAAATGGCAACAGCACCACTTGATATTTTGCAGAAGGTCATCATTCTGAGCCTCAGTTTCCTCATCCATAAAGTTGCGTAGGAATAGTAATGCTCTAATTGTATGATGTTTACCTCAGAGCTTTTTTTAGGGGAATAAATGAGATCATCCATGAAAGACACTTAGGGTAGGATCTGGAAGATTCTTTTTTTTTTTTTTTTTAAAGATTTATTTATTTATTTATACAAGCACTGGGTACAGTCAGAAGCACAGGAGGGTGAGAGAATTCACCAGAGCGGGGAACAGAACAGGCAGAGTGATGAAATACACTGCTGAGGGGGTCAGCGGGCACGGCCGGAGAGGTCTGTCGCGCCATGTGGGACCCTTGCTGGTGGCCGGGGATTGAACCGGCGCTGCAGAGCCTGCGGGCAGCTTCGCAAGCCAGCGCTCAACTGCTGCGCCACCAGGGGAGGCCCTCTGGAGAATTCTTTGTGCCACTGAAGATGTAGCTATCATTATTATTCTCTGAACATGAACATGAATTTATTAAAAGTTTATTACAAGAAAAAGTCAAGTTTGTCTCTTCTAAGAAATCTTTCCTGATCCAGGTATAAACGATACAGCTTTTCATCTCTGGATCCTGTTGGATTTATTTATCCATAACACCATACCACTTATTCAATGCTTGGCATATACTCGCCTGATCTGTTGTCTGGCAATCTAATCCTTTCTATATGCATATTAATTTCTCAATTGAGTTGTAATTTTCTTAAGAACATGAACTGGGGATTATGCTTCTTCATACCCCTACCCCAAGTAACTAGTTCAATGTATGACACAAATGTGAATATATATATATATATATATATAATGTATAATAACTATATATATAGAGAGAGAAAGTATGTTTGTATCTAGTGACATATGTGCATGGGAGAAAGCAGTACTGAATACAATGAGTTGTTCTTCTACCTGAATTGGCTAAATTTTATTTAAGCAGAGCACACTTTGAAAAGATGCCTCATACTTAGAAAAAAATTCCTAATTACAAAATATATTCATTTTGTAATTCTTAATTACAAAATTCTTAATTACAAAATGCATTCATTTATTATATTCATGAAAGAGAAAGAGAGGCAGAGAGCATGCCAAAGATAAAGATTGATTCTTCCTGTCTGTGCACCAGAAGTTTACTTTCCAGTGACTGGGGAAAGCCAAATTCCAATTACTTCAACTTGCATTCCAAGATCTAAGTCACTGGGAAAGATACTGGAAATTGAGTGATACGGCTGTGTAACTAACAACTGGGATTTATGTCCCTTTCTCCTTCACAATAATATTTCTCTTTATTATCAAGAAATAAGGTTGAAACTTTCATTTTCTCTACCAGGTGAGAACTTACACAGACTCTGAATTGAGAACTTGAGGCCTCTCCAAGGTAAAGAAGGTATCTTCACTGGGGTTTCATGGCATACAAAGCACTGATGCAAAATGACTTCTCATTTCACAATCATAAAATCAAGTCTTATTAAATACATAGAAGAGTTAAAGCTCTTCCACTGAACAAGAATGTTAAATGAGTATTTCTGAGTTTTTGGAAGATCTTATAGATCAACCTGCTCAATCCCCTTATTTACATGTAATGAAACTAGTCTTTGACAGATAAGGTGTGTCACTCAAGGCAAGGGAGCTCCTCTTAGCACTCATTGGGACAAGAATTCAACTTTCCTAACTCCTTTACCACTGCTCTTTCCACCAAGACAGCCTACATTCATCTAGAGAAGGCAGAGGAGGGTGCATGGGAGTTTCAGCTTCTCAAGATGCCCTATATCTGCCTTTATAAGGCATACACCAATATACCACAAAAAAGCACTTAAGTGACCAACCCTGGGGGATATTTGGGCCATTAAACAGACTAAAGTGATGTCATAGTATATAATTAATCAGTATGTGGACAGAAGGTCTTGTTATCCTGTTTACAAGGAATTCTGGAAACTACCTTCTTACATGAAAGATCTGATTCATTTTTTCCTAGTTAATTTGCCAAAGTACATCCATATATGACTCCTTCTGGGCATTTCATTTCCAGGGTGGCATCTGATAAGAGCCACTTTAGCTTCAGATGCCTACAATCCTCAACCTAACACCATGAAAAAGACACGTGCAAACCTGTAACCTGCTAAACCTGCGGAGTCGCCTGCATGAGTAAGCAGATCAGAGGGGCAGCACCAGAAGCACAGCAGCCAGCAACTTGTAAATTGAGAAGAAAAGGATGGATGTGCCTGGTCAGGTGATATCCAATAATCAAGAAAGCAAAGGCAAGCTCCCATGCTCTGCCTGTTCTCCGTACTCTATCTTGTGTGAAAATGTGGATGAGAACATGGAGGGTGGAATAATTCCAAGCTGTGGGATTGGGATACCTCCGTGACAAGTTCCTTCCATTGTGGTCTCTAAGCTCTCCCAGAAAGTAGACACCAGCTCAGTGTTGGGAATGAAGAGGAGTCATGGAGAAAATTCCCAGTCAGGAGAAAACTACTTAGAGAGTAAAGTAAATATTACTTGGAAAACCAGAGAAAGAATTTCCAAAGTCATTCTTTCCCAAGGATGCTCTTGTTAATGTGGAAAGAATTAAAATGGAAAGAATAAGAAACTGAGAATCTGAAGACAGTGGTTCTGAACTTGGCCCTATAGCTAAGTAAGTCTGTAGGCTCAAACAAATCACACGGTACACTGAGAGCCTTAGTTCCATATCTATGTCTTAAAGCTCCTTTCAGATCTTGGGGTCAAATGTAACACTCTTCCCAAGAAGCTCAAAATAGGGCCTTCCCCGTGGCGCAGCAGTTAAGCGCTGGGTTGCGAAGCTGCCCGCAGCCTCCGCAGTGCCGGTTCGATCCCCGGCCACCGGGCGAGGGTCCAACATGGTGTGCTGACCTCCCTTGCCGCCCACCGCTCCCCTCAGCAGTGTATTTCGTCAGTCTGCCTGTTCTGTTCCCCACTCTGCCTCTGGTGAATCCTCTCACCCTCCCGCACTTCTGACTGTACCCAGTGCTTGTATAAATAAATAAATAAATAAATATAAATCTTTTAAAATAAAAAAAGAAGCTCAAAATATTTTTAGTGTATTTTTAATAATTTTGTGTTCTCTCTCGTTCTCTCTCTTTCTCTCTCTTTCCCTTTCTGCCTATTTCTATCTCCTCTATCTCTCTTTCTAACTCTATTTCTCTATCTCCATGTCTTATTTTACCTTATTTTAAATAACAAACTAACATGAGCATTTACATGACTTTTAATGCTAAAAAGAAAAATATTCCAGAAAGAACCACAGGACTCATCACCCTTTAAAACTTACAAATAGTACATAAGCTCCACTCAAGTTAGATCTTGATAACTATCTGAGATGCCCATTGCTCCTTCCATCCCATCCATGGTATTCATTATCGAGTTTCTCACGTGAGATGCTATTGCCATTGGAGGTGGGACAATGCACCATTGTGCCAGATCATTCCTAGGTCCTGCCCACTAAATGCCATTAATATCTCCCAGTCATTGTGACAGCCCTCACCACCCCCACATTTTCAAATGCCCTAAGGAAATATCCCCACCCTGCTAAGAACAACTGAAAACTTTACCATCTAAGTAAAGGGAGAAAGAGTTTAACATCTTTAAACCATATGAGCTTCAATGCATCTCAGGAACTTATGGAGATGCTTGACCAGAAAATAATTTGCAGCTATTATCTAAAATGGGTTTGGGTTACCTGTCATTACAATTTCTTCTGGCTGGACCATACTACCATCATTTCCTCCTCGTTACACTCGAACTCAGATAACTGAGAATTAGTTAACTGATGGGTTTTACTTTCCCTTTGCTCTCCCCTCAAGTTCATCATCCCACCCCCTTTTCTTACCTGGCATAGTATCCTGCAGGATTCCGTGGGTAAAAGAAACACCAAGCAGTACAGCAAAAGCATATGAGTCATTGTCGCCACACAACTGCCTTGCTTGCTTCTATAAAAATAAATAAAAAAGCAAAATGTCTCCAACCTGAACCTTCCAAAGTTCCACCCATTGCAGAACCCAGTTAGACCCAGTATGAGACTGGGTTCTGCCTCAGTGCTCTTTTTTCAGGCTGCCCTGCTCCAGAGCTGGCATCCCTGTGCTCTCCCATTGACCTCACCAGCAGGCTACAGGTGTGAGCATGGGGAGGCACCAGCAATTGCCTCCAGACCTCCAGCCTCTGCTCTCGGTTGGCATGTGACTCCTACTGTGGCAATCCCTCCAAAGGAAGCTGCCTGCTGGGGTGTAATAAATAACAGGCTGTGATTGGAGAGTGGAAGTGATAGTTTACTCTCTGCATTACACAGGGCTGAGAAACACGTGGGAAGCTCTGATGGAAGGCAAGCTGGGGTTCCTGTATGCAAACTCAGTCTAGAAAGATCTTTTGGAGGAGTGGAGTAAGCTCTAGGCTGGATCAATTATCCTTTATGCCCATCTAAATGTGAAGCTGTATTTTGTAGGTAGCATTTTCTTGAAAATTGATCTTAAGCATGATCTATTATTGTTATTTCTACCAAAACTGAAGTCAAAGCTAAAATGATTTGTTGGCACCTAGGATGGTGCTGGGTATGGTGGGTACTCATACTCAGTAACAGAAGAGGGAAGCAGAGAGAGAGGAGAGGCGATCAGGAAGAAATGACATTTACATTAGGGTCTACGCTCTCTAGATGATTCACATAAAGTGAAATTTTCAATTTTATATTTTAATAATTTTAATATTTTTCATCCTAAGTGAGATCCTTTTTGAAAGATATTTGATATTTATTTATTTTTAAATGGAAGGATTCAGAAGACTCAAATGTCATCAACAAAGGTGTGGACTTTTGAAATATTGACATTTGCTAATTAATCATTTTTTCCAAGAAGAAATAGTCTTCATCCCAACCATGACATTATTGTCATAAAATCCATAGCAAACAATGCTATTATTTTAAAGATGAGACAAAATGACTTTTTTAAAATCATGTTTCCTCAAAAAAGGATGTGAAGAGAAGGGAACCATTCTACTGTTGGTAGAAATGTAAATTGGTGTGGGCATTATGAAAAGCAGCATGGAGGTTTTTCCAAGAATTAGAAATAGAAATTTCATAATATCCAGTTATTCCACTTCTGAGTTTACTCCAAAAAATCAAAAATACTAATTCAAAAAATATATGCACTCCCATGTTTACTGCAGCATTATTGACAATAAGCCAAGAATTGGAAATAACTTATATGCCCATAGGTTAATGAGTGGATAAAGAAGATGTGGTACATGTACACAGTGGAATACTACTCAGCTTAAAAAAAAAAATGGAATTATGCCATTTTCATTAACACAAAAGAAACTAGAGGGAATGATATTTAGTGAAGTAAGTCAGGCAGGGAAAGATAAATGCCATATGATTCCACCCACTTGTGGTATAGGGAAAACAAAGAGACGAACTAAATAAAACAAAAATTAAAATGATAAACCGTAAGAAGAATTAGTGGTTACCATAAAGAAAAGGGGGACGTTGGGTGGATAAACCAAGACAAAAGAGTCAAAGGTATGGTGAAGGATAAAATTGGAAATTTAGCAGTGAATTAACATAGTACATACACACGGTGATTCTTTATAATGCACACCTGAGTGTTAATAATATTATAATGCAATGTTACTTCAATTAAAAATCAAATTTTTTTTTAATTTTTTTTTTATAGAGGCATGTTCCATTTATTTATTTGTCTGCTTGTTTGTTTGTTTTTTTGTTTATACATGCACTGGGTACAGTCAGAAGCGCGGGAGGGTGAGAGAATTCACCAGAGCCAGAGCGGGGAGCAGAGCAGACAGAAGGACCAAAGTACACTGCTGAGGGGAGCAGCGGGAGGCAGGAGAGGTCTGCGCGCCATGTGGGACCCTCCTCCGGTGACGGGGGAGCAGCCGGGGATCGAACCGGCGCCACAAAGGTTGCGGGAAGCTTCGCAACCCAGCGCTCAACCGCTGCGCCACCGGGGAGGCCCCAAAAATCAAATTTGAATAAAATAAATAATGTTTCCTGCACTGAAATACTCAGTTGAAATTCTGCTGAAATCTAAAAATTATTTAAAATATTTTGCACTGCCTGCTTGGCTAATTGTTAATAGCTCTCTGAAGGCCTGTATTTCTTAAACAAAGGGATTACTTTGTTGCTCATCACTTTTAAGAGCATTTAGTAACAGATGCATACCCTATTTCAAGTAAATTGCAACCATTTTTTAATACTTTATTCCAGTCTAAATCATTCAGATGGATAAAAAACCCAGTCTGAAAATCATCAAAGTAACTTATCAGAATCATCACTAATACAGTTACTGCTTAGGTTAGAATCACCAAAATTAGAAAAAACACTGAAAAAATCATTGACATTATTGTTATAAAATCTGACTATGAATCACATTAACTTCATAAGAATTTATAAAATTCTTATACAGAATTTTCTCTTGACTAAAATAATAGAAAAGATTTAAGGAATGATACAAGACAACAAACTTTCACATAGTGACCATTACTCAGTTTAGATAACATATTTTTTAAGGGGAGGAGGAAAGGAATGATTTGATATGGTCAACAAATCAAGTGAAAACCATCTGTTTTCTTAAAATGCTTAGTGGGTTTATTGAAAAAATTCTTTAATATATTGTCATTTTGTTTAAAGTTTAAGTACTGTTGCATTTATAGGCCTCCCCTGGTGGTACAGGTGGTTGAGAGCCGCGCTGTGAAGCTGTCAGCAGCCTCTGCAGCACCGGTTTTATCCCAGCCGGCCAGCAAGGGTCCCACATGGCGTGGCAGACCTCTCCTATAGCACCCACTGCTCCCCTCAGCAGTGTATTTCGGTCCATCTGCCTGTTCTGTTCCCCGCTCTGTCTCTGGTGAATCCTCTCACCCTCCCATGAATCTGGCCTGTACCCCGGTTCTTGTATAAAATAAGTAAATAAATCTTTTTTTAAAAAAAGAAATAAATAAAATTTAAGTACTGTTGTATTTAACTTTCATGAAAATATTGTTGATTATTATTAAAAGTACGTTACTATGTAAGGCAAATGTGTTTTATTGAGAATAGTTTTCACCAGACTTTGCAGTATAGCCTTTTCTGATAGGTGTGATGATTTCCCGAGCCAGGCTTTTCTAACATTTCCCTTACTATCCAAACCTACCATCTCAAAGAAGAGCTGAGGATGACAACTCTGGAATGCTAGTTTTCCCCAAGTTTCAGCAACAGTGTGACTCTAATTTTAATTACTTTTTAAGCTAATTCTCAATTATTTTAAGGAACATTTCTCTCTCTCTGTTTAAAAAGATTTATTTATTTATGCATACAAGAACTGGGGTATAGGCCAGAGGTGCAGAGGGTGAGAGGATTCACCAGAGACAGAGTGGGGAGCAGAACAGGCAGACTGACTGAAATACACTGCTGAGGGGAGCAGCAGGCAAGACAGGAGAGGTCTGCTGCACCATGTGGGTAGCTCCCTGGCTGGGGATTGAACTCGTGCTACAGAGACTGTGGATAGCGTCACAGTGCTGTGCTTAAACCCTTGTACCACCAGGGAGGCCTTCGAAGGAATGTTTTCTAAAGGTGACTTTTATTTGTGATTCACTTATAAAACTGGTTGCTCTTCAAGTAAAGTGGTATACTTTAATCTGGACTTAAATAGAACCAATTTTTCTTCCAGATTTGTTGACCTTAAATCATAGTCATTAATTAGCTCCTTTTTCAGCTCTCTGAAAGCGGAAAATTTAGAAAAAGCAAAAAATTCCAGTAACAAAATAGTAGCATGAAACAATCTTTTGAATCCATCACTACCCTCACCCCTACCTCCCAGAGCTCCTTCCCCATTTTCTTCTGAAAAGGTTCAGACCTCCTTGCTCCCACAGTCCCACAGTCTTCTGAAATGCACAGGTAGCTAGAATGTAACTTTTCCCTCTCAAACAAATGCTTGAAATTGTTAAATTCATGTAGCCCAAGCCAAAAAAAAATCATTACATTCATTTCAGAAAAGGCTTATCTCTCAAGAACATACAACCTGAAAAAAAAGTCTCCTCTTGTGATTCACTCCTTAAAATATGAAACAATTACATCAGCCCTGAAATTTCACAAAGTAACATGTGCCAAATACAAAGTGTTTTTTTTTTTTAATGAAGAAATGGGTTTCACCCCTCCATTATAAAAGAAAAAGCCAATAGCAAGGTTCAATGGCTAGATCTGCAGGAATAACACTTCTAGCCATTCAGCACAAAATGTTTTCTGATTCTCTGTTTCAAATCTGAAAAAAATTAAAGTGTTAGTGTATGTGTTTATTCAGCAAAGAAAGGAGCCCCTCATTTCCCAGCAATGTCCTTACAGCTAGAAACTAAGTAACAACCACCAGGTGATTTCTTGTCCTGTCTCCTCACCTCTTTGGGGAAGTCACAACCTAATAGGTTTCTGAAGCACTACCAAGGGACTGGGAACCTGGAGACCTACACACCTAGCAGTCAGAGCTCATCAAAGAGACATAACAGGAACTATTCCAAAGTTCTGACTCTCACCAAGTGATTCTCATTTTTGTTAGTAATTTAATTTCTTTTCTTTTTAAAGAAGATTATTTATGCATACAAGAACTGGGGTACAGGCCAGGGAGGGGGGGTGAGAGGATTCATCAGAGACAGAGCGGGGAGCAGATCAGGCTGATCTACTGAAATACACTGCTGAGGGGAGCAGCGGGCAAGACAGGAGAGGTCTGCCGGGCCATGTGGATCAGCTCCCTGGCAGGGGATCAAACTCATGCTGCAGTGGCTGCGGATAGCTTCATAGTACTGAGACTTAACCCTTTGTACCACCAGGGAGGTCCCCAGCAATTTAATTTCTAAACATCCTCTCCTATCTCTATGTCAAATACCTTCACCCCAATGCCTTATGGTTGACTGGCAACTGGCTCATTAATG